GAAAGCCAGACATAGACAGGCAACGCCCAACTACATGGTCATAAATCCCGGAAAGACGAAGGTATTCTCGAGCTGCATCCCTGCCCAGGAGAAGGCGCCTCTGGGGACTAGTGGCCATCAACCAGAAGAAGTAGACAGCTTTAAATACGGCAGGGCGAAACTGCTACCGAATGGGCAGAGCAAGGACGACATTGACTCCCGTATCGATGCCGTTTGCTGGGCTTGCTCGATCCCTCGAAAGCGCCTATGGGTTTGACGCGACATCTCCATCGCCACGAAGATTCATGTATACTGTGAATCCATCCGGTCAGTCCTCCTCTCTGGATGTGAACGCTGGGCGACCATGCGACCATGTGCGCTGGAGATGAGCTAAGACCGGAGGTTTTTAACCACCAATGCCTGAGGACCATCCTGCGAGATAAGTATAGCGACCTCATCTCGAATGAGACAGTCCGCACCTGCTGCGATCCTATCGCGAAGATATCTCAGGCCATTCAAGAAAGGTGACTGAGGTGGTTGGGACTTGTTCTCCGTCGTCCGCTTGACGAGCTTTGCTATGCTGCACTCGACCCGGCACCGCAGCCCACTTGAAAGCGCCTAAGAGAAGGGCAACTGAAGACTTGACTCGACACCGTCCGTCAAGACACGGTAACAGTTCTTGGACATTATATCTTCGGTCTCCGTCGCTGGAGAAGAGACTAGGTAGAGCTCTCCAAATCCGCCGCCACCAATCGTCACGCATGTACTTTACGGAAAGTCTACTCATACCCCCTATATCCCAGCAGGAAGTGTAAGACTGGGTTCATGCTATTTCGAATAAATACATTTTTGAAACCGTCTCACCTCTGTCCACCAAAAGCTGTATCACATTTTACTAAGTTTGGGCTAGACTACCACTGCTGATTGTGCTAATTGTAGTAATCATACAAACTAAGACCGCGGATAGTATATCCTAGTAATATATTCCTATAATTGTATCCTGCTTTTGCAACAAGCATAACAGATGGAAAGATGAGCTAACGCGCGTCCTATAGTTCATCCACCCTGATTTGTAGGACACTGGGCGAACATTCATATCCGGTGGCCACGGAAGATTGCCACCATACTCACAGATAAAGCTGTTCCGACCTACTCTATCTTTCCTGACTTTTGATGTGGGAAACCTTCGCTCTGTCAATATCAAAATTTTCGACAGGGGTTGTCGCACAGCAGCAGGTACAGCTTGTGGTTCACACAACGATTAAAATAATACTGGTTAAAAGAAAGAGACTGCTCAAAAATCAGGTTATGCGTCTCCATTACACCACGACTTCTAAGTCACAAAAGCTGCGCCCTTGGATCTGGGTAAGGGCATAAGAAGGTGCGTCACACGAACTTGCCATTCAAAACTTCTTACACGGGCTACTCCAGATTAGGTTGCAGGTCATTCTCACAGTCTGAAGTATCACGTACCGGCACATAAACCTTTTCGGGCACGATATTATCCAGCTAACTGCTTGTAAGTAAAGGCCAAGATTTTGTATTCAGAAAAGGAACTTGTTTAAATGTACCCACACTTGAGACGCAATTAAAGGCATTGTCTATTATCCCTATGAAATAAACTGAAGAAACTTTAATGACGTCATCTTGTACTAAAAGTAACGACTTTTCACTGCTAGATGGAGAATTACTGGCAAGATAAACTCGATCTAGATCAGAAAGAAGAAGATATCATACTTTCAACTGACAGAGCTGATGCGTGTTGTCTGCCATATCACCCATGGGTGGGTATTACACTGCGTATCAAATTGTCCTGCCAGAAAGTTCGGGGTGTGAGTATAAATTAATCACGAAGACCCTGGCTGAAAGGGCCTTGCTAGGTGGGGCCAAAGTAGAGACTGGAGACCAGATGGTATATTTCTGACTCATCAACCATCATCAGCCAGCCACACCAAGGCGTAGCGGTTCCACCCTATCTGCCCGTACTACAACTCACTGTTGAGATTTTCACCGTTTACACTATGACAATATTCTTGCACAGCACACCTCAGTCAGAT